AAATCACCTCGATCGGGCCTGACTGCTCTCAGTGTCAGTCATTGTGAAACACTAACCCGGTTTCAATGGAGGTCCCGCAAAATTGCTTCATCAGAGCCGTGACGCTCAATAAGGCATCAAGGCAAGATATTGGGGGGGGGGCGGGATTGAGAGTTGTTTGTTTTTTATTTTTTTGACTTGAGAACAAGCTTGGTAGCACTTGTGATTGTTTTTATTTCATAACAGTTGAATGTATTTCATTTTCACAGGAAGGGTACCTTGATGTTGAGGGTGTTGTATTTATTATTGTTATTGTTATTATTATTGTTATGTCTTGCATATTAATATAAATCAGACAACCACAGAGTGAGTAGTTAAACTTTTGGGCATATGGACGGCGTTTGCTCGGAGCAGGCTGTAGCGGTTATTTATTTGACTAATTTATTTATTTTGCATTTTTAAAGAGGGACTATGGAAATACTTTTTTTTTTAATAGTCGCAATCGGTCTAGAGAATAATTACAACGTGCTAGCGCGTGGCCAATCATTATTTTGCCATGTTTTTTTTTTTTTTTAATCTAATTCGATGTTCATAACCAGATTCTGACCTCTTATCATAGACAAATTGCACTTTTTTTTTTTAAAGAAAAAAAACTTTAAAATAATTTCTTTTTGTGTATCTTTTGGTGTTAGTGTGAATCGTCTGTCCTAATCCGATCCTGACATGAAATGGTAAAATGCTAATTGGATTTACAATCTTTTTTTATCCTTAACATTTTACAGAACCAAGGAATGCTTAGATACTCGTAGCTTTCCCGAAACGACACAAGAAACTCATCTTGGATTTTACGCAAAACTGCTATGGTTTTATTCTCTTCTAATCTGGATTATCCTGCATTACAAGTGAGAACAAGAAGGGAATCTTGTCAGTGAGATCGGGGGGGGGGGGATGAGAAAGTGTACGTAAATATGTTTTGCTGTATGCGTCGTTTTATAGGAATGGAGGGCATAGAAACAATTTAAAAAGCAATAGAAGCAAGACTACTGTATTTTGTGTGTAACGCTGGCTGTCCTTTGTAACAATATTACGTTGCCTTGCTCTGCATTCGGGACAAATAAATTGAATTTGCTGCTTGATGTTTTGGGTTTTAATTTTTGTAGAAATTCATCTAAACCAGCCACTCACACGCCATTAAAAAAATAAATTAATTAATTAAGCCGTCACGTAAATGATTAAATTAACCCTTTCAGGTACAGCGGTTACTACAGTGGACAGTTTATCCAGTTACAGGTTATTATTTGTGCATGAAAGGGTTAAAATGTCAATTAAAATTTCAAATACAGTACTGGAGTAAATGTAGCGTCACGGACGTTAATTTTGTTAGCCCTGCGTTAGTCGACGGCGTTTCCCATTCACCTTTTAGCATGAAGTTAGTCGGCCATAAGGCTCGTATTTTGATTAAAACAAAGAAAAAAAATCATCCACTTGGGTTGTCTCGTGACCTCAGGTGGTTGTGACAGGTGAGTGGGTGAGGGGTTCCGGGCAGGGGCGCCAGCCTCCTCAGCTAGAACAAGAGGCCCCTCCCCTTTACAGGGGTCAGCTGCTGGCCCTGAAGGGGCCCACTCAGCCGTGACTTAATGCCCCCTGTGGGCTCTTTTGTCCTTTCCACATTCACTCAATTGGCCACCAAATGGAGGGATAATGGGGACACTGGCCTGATGCTACACACACACACACACACACACACACACACACTATTTGCACGCCATGTCCTGTTCAGCAGTGCACCCGTGTGTGTATGTCTGTGTGTGTACAAGAGGGTCTTTTGTCCGGGGGGGCGACCCCAGCAGATATGCGGCGGAGCTCTTTTGCTCTTAATTGCTGCTCGCCTTCTGCCTCCTAGTTGCACTCAAAAAAGAAAAAAGACAATGGAAGCTAGCAATTTGTGTAACGAGGTTAGCTTACATATACTTAAACGAACATTAAATATAAAATAGGCAATCATAGATGAAATATAAACTTTTTGATCCAAATATATGTAGGCAACTTGTATTTGTGACTATTTTTATTTTGCACTCTTCTGTCTGACCTGTATTTTTTTTTAATCTTTTCCTTTTTTTTTTTTTCGTCTAACATGCAATTCACCGAGTTAAAAAGTGATCTTTGAATGTCTGCGTTTTGGTGTGTGCGTATGTGCTTCACCACACCCACCTGCCTATTAGTCCAACACATGCATACACGCGCACACTTTGCCTTTGTGTGCGCTAGACAGCAGATGGCAGCCCATTATCAAGCTGAACAGAGCAGTCATCTGGCAGGCATCCCGTGCCACCAGCAGACCCCCACTCGCCACCAATCGGCCCTCCCTCCATCTCAACACACTTTTTTTTTTTTTTTTTGGGCGGGAGAGTCCATGTGGTAATTTGTATGTATGTGTGTGCGGCCCCGCCCCCGAATCAATTTAGGTCATCGCGCTGGTGTGTGTCAGCGTCATGTGACCTCCGGTCACTTGGGGACCAGTCTAATTCTTTTTTTTTTTTTTTTGGGTGGGGGGGCAGTCGAGCTTTCGTATGTTTCAACAGCAAATCTGGTCAGAAACACTTCATGTTGTGTTTCCTTGGCAACCGCCAAGTCAAACATGGCAATGTTTGTCTTGAAAAGACAAGGAAGTGTTTGTAGTTTGCGCTCCAGGCCAGTAGGGGGGTCGGTAGGGATTCTTTTCCACTTTTCATATTTTAGTCCAAGAAATAATAATTCACATGTTTATAATTCCGTGAGCTTCTAGTTTGAGATCCTTTTTTGTTTTGGCTCCTGGAAATGAGAGTGCACATTGTTTTTATACCTAAAGTTCCAGGAATTTGTGGGTCTTGGTACTTTCAGTTCAGGGGTATTTTTGAATCTTTTGTAGTCGTATTTTCTGCTAAAGTTCCAAGAACTTTTGGTTTTGAATACTTTTGGTTCTGGGTACTTTCAGCTTGACGAAAGGCTCAGCCTAAGTAGCCCTTTTTTTTTTCATCCAAGTTCGACTACCGAAGGTTCGTGGCAACCGCCAAGTCAAATATGGCAATGTTTGTCTTGAAAAAGACAAGGAAGTGTTTGTAGTTTGCACTCCAGGCCAGTAGGGGGGTCGGTCGGGATTCTTTTCCACTTTTCATATTTTAGTCCAAGAAATAATAATTCACATGTTTATAATTCCGTGAGCTTCTAGTTTGAGATCCTTTTTTGTTTTGGCTCCTGGAAATGAGAGTGCACATTGTTTTTATACCTAAAGTTCCAGGAATTTGTGGGTCTTGGTACTTTCAGTTCAGGGGTATTTTTGAATCTTTTGTAGTCGTATTTTCTGCTAAAGTTCCAAGAACTTTTGGTTTTGAATACTTTTGGTTCTGGGTACTTTCAGCTTGACGAAAGGCTCAGCCTAAGTAGCCCTTTTTTTTTTCATCCAAGTTCGACTACCGAAGGTTCTGTAACTTTTTAGTCCCTGAGGTCCCCTTCTTACATAACCGTGCAAAAAAAAAAAAAAAAAGACAAAATGAGGAGTTGTTTATATATTGAGGAAAAAATAACTGACACATTAATTGGGAACTCCATATAATGAGCATGAGGTGGTCTCCCTTTAATCCCCCTCAAAGGCCCCATTGGTGGCTCCCTGACATTCGCTCTTCCTGCGACACCTGGACAGGATCTTGTGGAGGAGGCACGGGGAACGCTGAGTCTGAGGGGTGCCGCGGAGGCATAGCGGGGCCGGCGGGGGCGGGGACCTCCATGGAGTGGCCGGGGCCTCGCTGGCGTCCGCTTCCTCTCCTGACCGGCTCGCCCTCCGGAGAGCCTGCAGAACGTGACCACTAGCCGACAAAGACAAAAGGACACAAACACAGAGATGTTGTTCATTCTAACTGATGTATGCTTACAAATATAAGAAAAGAACAAAAAAACACATTATTTTACCAGAATGAACTAACATTTTTCTGCCAAAGCTGGTGATTTGACAATTGTGAAACAGGTGAGAAACTCAACACCATTTTACTTTTGTGGCAGTGGGAGGTTACTAAATTAACCGACTTGACCAAAAGAGAATATTACCCGCAGGCATCCAAAGTCGGTCCTCAAGGGCCGAGGTCCTGTCTGTTTTCCCATCTTTCCTTGCTGACACACACCTGATTCAAAAGGCTAATCAGCAAGCTATGAGGAAGCAAGATAACGATGCTGCTCATTTGAATCAGGTGTGTTGCTCCTGGGAGTGATGGAAATGTGACTATGGACATCCCTGGGCGAGGACACTTCAAACCCAATGTAGTCCACTTTTTGCCAAGAAGATTTTTTTTTTCCCCACAATGGGTCTCATTTGAAACCTGATGAAGCGTACAGTGTGAAACAGGCGAGAAACCCGTTTTTCTTTTGCCCCAGTGGGAGGCCATCGAAATCGGCAATTTGACGCAAAGTGAGTGTAGCCTCTGCAGTCAAAATGACAATGTACACATCGACTAGCTAAAACGTCTGGTGTTTTCTGAAGTTATTTTTACTTTTCTATGGCTTTGTCCAGTTTAAGGGACAGACTGTGTACAAATGTGCAACGTTCATCTGTGACTCAACAAAAACTGTTTTCGTGAATTCCACCAGTGAGCTCAAGTGATATGCTCGGCCTTCAAAATGAAAGGTACGTGAAATTAA